CTTCTGCTTGGTGGGTCAAAACCATAGGGCCAGGCAGTGACAACTGCAACCCAGAATTCCTTGGCTGGGACACTCAGTTCCAGACTCAGATTAGATTTGCTGAGTTTGAAGGAAAAAATATATCTGTATAAATCTAACTTTCCCTGGTCCAACAGATCTCTTTCATTCCTCCTTCATTATGTCTGTACTTCCATAATGTGGCTTCCATATACACCAAGAAAGGTCTCAAAGAGTTGGGATTTATAACATTTCTTACAAGCATAAAAAAGGTCCCTGCAATGCTAGGAGCCCTAATACATGGCATAAACACAATATGAACTACAAGTAACAATGCAAAAGCACAAGAAAAGAGACTAGATAATAGGGAGCTCCTAAAAATCAAACACTTATGCTCATCAAAAGACTTCACCAAAGAGTCAAAAGACAACCTACAGACTGGGAAAAATTTTTGGCTACGACAAATCTGATCAGCATCTGTCTAATCTCTAAAATCTGTAAGATACTGTAAAACCTCTACAGCAAAAAGACAAATAACCCAATTGAAAAATGGGCAAAGGATATGAACAGGGACTTCACCAAAGAAGATATTCAGGTGGCTAACAGACACATGAAGAAATGCTCACAATCATTAGCCATTAGAGAAATGCAGATCAAAACTACAATGAGATATCATCTCACCCCAACAAGGCTAGCCTTAATCCAAAAAACACAAAATAATAAACGCTGGAGAGGTTGTGGAGAGACTGGAACACTTATACACTGTTGGTGGGAAGGTAAAATGGTACAACCACTTTGGAAATCAATTTTGTGCTTTCTTAAAAAGCTACAAACAGAAATACCATACGATCCAGCAATCCCACTCCTTGGAATATATCCTAGAGAAATAAGAGCTGTCACACCAATAGATATATACATAGCCATGTTCATCACAGCACTGTTCACAATAGCAAAAAGATGGAAACAACCTAGGTGCCCATCAGCAGACGAATGGAAAAACAAATTATGGTATATCCACACAATGGAATACCACGCAATGATAAAGCACAACGATGAAGCCGTGAAACGTCTTATAATATGGAGGAATGTGGAGGGCATTATGCTGAGTGAATTTAGTCAGTCATAGAAGGACAAATATTGTATAAGACCACTATTATAAGAACTCAAGAAAAGGTTTAAACACAGAAGAAAACATTCTTTGATGGTTACAAGGGTGGGGAGGGAGGGTGAGGGTTATTTGCTAACTAGATAGTAGATAAGAATTATCTTAAGTGAAGGAAAGGACAGCATACACTACAGGGGAAGTCAGCACAACTGGACTAAACTAAAGCTAAGAAGTTTCCTGAATACAATCAAACACTCTGAGGGACAGAGTAGCAGGCATAGGGGTCTGGGGACCATGCTTTCAGGGGACATCTAGGTCAGTTGGCATAACAAAGTTTATTAAGAAAATGTTCTGCATCCTACTTTGATCAGTGGCGCCTGGGTTCTTAAAAGCTTGCAAACAGCCATCTAAGATGCATCAATTGGTCCCAACCACCTGGAGTAAAGGAGGATGAAGAATACCAAAGACACAAGGAAAGCATTAGCCCAAGAGACAGAAAGGGCCACATAAACCAGAGACTTCATCAGCCTGAGACCAGAAGAACTGGACAGTGCCCGGCTACCATGAATGACCGCCCTGACAGGGAACACAACAGAGTCCCGCATGGAGCAGGAGAAAGGTGGGGTGCAGAACTCAAATTCTAGTAAGAAGACCAGACTTCATGGTCTGACTGAGACTGGAGGTACCCCGGAAAGCATGGTCCCTCGGTTCTCTATCAGCCCAGAACTAAAACAATTTCCAAGGCCAACTCTTCAGACAGGGATTGGGCTGGACTGTGGGACATAAAGTGATACTCATGAGGAGTGTGCTTCTTAGCTCAAGCAGATACAAGAGACTAAACAGGCTGCTTCTGTCTGGAGTTGGGATGGGAAGGCAGAGAGGGTTAGGAGCTGGTTGAATGGACATGGGGTAACAGGGGTGGAAAGGAGGAGTGTGCTGTCACAGTACGGGGAGAGCAATTAGAGTCACATAACAATGTCTGTATAAATTTTTAAAGGAGAAAAAATAAAAAATAAAAATAATCACATTAAAGAAAAAGAAAAAAAAAAAAGGTCCCTGGGTGGCAGTTTGTGCTTGACTACTAACCGAAAGGCTGGTGGTTCAAACCCTGCCAGCAGCACTTTGAAAGGCCTGACGATCTGCTTCTGTAATGATTATAGCCAAGAAAGCCTTATGGAGGAGTTCTACTTTGTAACCTATGTGGTCATCATAGTCAGAACTAACTTGACAGCAAAGTTTTTTTTTTCTTTCTTTATATAATCTATTTTATTTTTTGTTGTTGTTGAGCGGCAAGAGGTTTTTATAGGCATAGAAACGAGACTTTTCCCTTTCCTCATTCTTTAAAAATAACAAATGTGTAGTCTTAATCATTCACTAACTATGATAAAGAAACTACCAAAAACCAAACCGGTTGCTGTCGAGTCGATTCCGACACATAGCAACCCTATACGACACAGCAGAACTGCCCCACAGGGTTTCCAAGGAGAGGCTGGTGGATTTGAACTGCCAACCTTTTGGTTAGCAGCCAAGCTCTGAACCACTGTGCCACCAGGGCTCCGAGAAACAAACTTGGTGGGATAAAAGTGACAAGCTTTTCTCAACACCATACAGTGTGTATGTCCCAGCCCAGGGACCAGGTAGTATCCTGGGAGTGTGAGGTGGGGCTCCCAGGCAGCAGAGCTGACCACCTGGAGGAGGTGGAAAGTAAGCATGCAATATTTCCATGGGTACAGAAAGGAAGGCAGGCATTCCTGGAGGGGTCTAGGCTACACACAGCCTGGAGGAAAGGATCTTGTGGGCTTCACCCACCCGAAAGACACCTAAATAAGAATGACTCTTTCCAGGGTCTGTGCTGGTAGGCAATCTGAAGACGGTCTGCAGAGATCCCTGAATGGAGGGCTAAAAGTTTGGGCTCTATTTGAAACCACGACCCTAAACCTCCAAAACAAGAAACCAAATCCCATGAGGTATTTGGTTATACATAAGCAGTCTCAGCAGCTGCTCTTTTGTTGTTGTTGTAAACACATATATCAAAAATTTTTGCCATTTCAACTTTTTATAGGTGTACAACTTATTGACAGCAATTATATTAATTGGCTGTGCAATCCCACCCTCAATCAATGTGATTTTTCCATCAGAGTCATCAAAATTTTAAGTTCACATCTCCTATTGCTAGAACTTTACCCTAAGAGACTCCCAACAGTTCATCGAGATATCATTTACAAAGCTGTTCACCCCAGCACTAACAGAAACAGCAAAACAGCACAAATAATGCAGGCGTCCTTGAGCAGGAGCTGCTTAAATACATGATGCGTCCGTAACATGGAGGATGACACAACTTGTGGACAGGGAAGAGCGCTGGGAGGGGTGGAGGGAGAGGCTCACTTTCCACATTATATCCACACAACTTTATTATTTTTTTTTAATGTTTTCTGGGTGGCAGATTTACGGGTCATTTCAGGTTAATAGAATGTGTACACTTTGTGTTTTCATTTTCCCAGATTTTTTAAAAACTAGTGTAAGTATATCTGGGTTAACCTGGATAAGCCCTTCATAATCCAGTACTGATCCAGGATTGTTAGGTATGCATTTGCATTTGTGTTTGCAAACTCACTGCTGCCAAGAATAGAGTCTGCCTTACTTTTGTTCATGCGAAGTGAAGCCAAATGAAGTCAGGGTCTAACGTGGGAACAAAGGTTTTGCAATAGTTTGAAGAGAAATGGTGGAAACATCATGTATCCCACAGCAAGTGAATTTAGGCTGCCTAAACTCAAAAGAATCTGGGCCATTAATGGTCAGTATCGTCATGTTGGAGCCTTGGTGGCACAGTGGTTAAGAGCTCAGCTGCTAACCAAAAGGTAGGCAGTTGGAATCCACTAGCGACTCCTGGGAAACCCTATGGGGCAGTTCTACCGTGTCCTATATCGGGTTGCCGTGAGTCGAAATCGACTCGACAGCAACGGGTTTGGGTTTTTTTTGGTTTTATCTTCGTGTTGTGAGCAGCAATTCCATTTCCGCAAATCATCAAAGGTCATAATTAATGTGCACTTGAATTTTGTTGGAATAGTAATTTTGTTTTGATCTACTTTGTGCATTTATTTTGGTTTAATGGCTGAATAAGAGTTACAAGCATAAGGGGTTTACAACTAGTATCCTGTAGATACATATTTAAGTAACATAACAATAAAAATAACAGGTAAAAATGAGGATCAGGGAGACCTTTGGTTGTTTTTCCTTTACAAAGGTCGGTTTGAAAACGCAGGCTAACTTGAAGGCTGGCCAACAGGATGACAACCACCTCCTCTGGTATTATGTTAAAAGGAAGTTAGTGCCACTGGATCTAATCTGGCGGGGAACTTGTTTCCTTTAATGTTCCCCATCATCACCCTTTCCCTCTCCATCATCTTAAATTATGTGTCATTCCCATTCGTCTTTTTTCCTTCTAACTGGCACATCCCACAGCACTCAGCAGTGTGCCACACAGGGAGAAGGACCCAAACCTGTTGGCTGAATAGAAAAAGGGAACCAAAGTGAGTATTATCCCCATATAACAGGTGAGAAAACAGAGTCAGAGAAGCTGAACTTGATCAAGATGGCTGGGATGCAAACTTTTTTTTTACTCCAGAGCCTGTGCATTTAGTCTCTGAGCTGGTTTCATTCTTATGTATATCGTCTGGCCATCAGGAGGCCTGGCAACTCTTAGGGCTCAAGGCATTTGCTGACCTCGTGGAAAGGCTCTGCGTGGTCCTGGGAAAGGCCTCTTCCCCCTCTGGATCCCCGTTTAACCATCCGTAAAATGGGGGCGGCCCCAAAAGCGCCTAGGCCTCTCCCAGCTCTGACACGGATGTGACGCGAAGCAGGAGGGAATGTCGTGGATGGTCCTCTTTTAGGGCCTTACCATTTGATGATGTTGTGAACCAAGGGTAAAAAGGAGTAGTTCTCCTCCTCCTTCACGCCCGAGGGTGACTGCGGCCTCGGCGCCGGCGACTGCTGCGGCTGAGGCGCAGCGACTGGTGTCGGCGGCTGAGAAGGCGGCAGCGGCTTTGTCTCTGGCAGCGACGGCTCGGTCGGCGGCGGTAACGCATCCTCCGCCTGACGGCCGGTGGCCACACCAGCAGATGCCATAGCGTTTAGGGTCGGTCAGTCAGTCAGCTGAACCCCGCGGGCTCAGCACACCCGAAAGCGTCACGAATTCCACACGTCACCACCGCGCGCCAGCAAGAAAGCTCTGCGCGTGCGCACTGGCGTATGGGGGGGCGGGGCAAAGGGGCTGGGGCGGTGCAGGGTGACTGTTGCTAGGTATTACACTGTTGGCGGGTCTGGGGTGCTCTGAGTTTAGTTGTGAGTCAGCATGGCTAAATTATTAAATACTCGGAAATAGGAGACTTATTTCGGAAACTAACCCAGTCTTCTTATTCCTATTCATCTGACGAAGAGAGCCCAAACGCAACGAACACGGAAACCTTGCCATAAATAAGGCTCAGCGTGGCCCAAACCCAACCCGTTGCACTCCAGTTGATTCTGACTCAGTGAGAGGGCAGAGTAGAACTGCCCCACAGGGTTTCCAAGGAGCGGCTGGTGGATTGAACTGCCAACTTTTTGGTCAGCAGCCATAGCTCTCAACCACCGCGCCACCAGGGTTCCCAGCGTGGCCCAGTCCTCTGGGAAGGTCTCCTGGAGAAACAAATGGAACTATGGGAAGAGTAGGCAACATGTATTGAGCAACTGCTGTGTCTAAGGCACGGGGCTATACTGGCACTGAGAATGCAGAAACGAAGGACTTGCACTTCCTACACGAGGCAAGAGGGGAGAAACAGGCTGAATCTCATCTTGGAAGACTGTGCCCTAAACCCTAAGGTCACAGAGAGGAATAGATTGTGGTCCTGCAAAGTTCCGAATGGCTGGGTAGGGAAGTACTACATAATTCAACTCAACACACATTTAATATACACCTAATGTATAACAGGTGCTTTGCTAAATGTGTGTGGGGAGGTGGGGGGAGGCTGTCCTAACTTCAGTAAAAGGCAGAAGGGGATTGTTGCTGTTGGGTGCCCTGTGGTCCATTCCGACTCATAGCAAACCATGTGACAGTAGAACTATCCCATAGGGTTTCCTAGGTTGTAGTCTTTACCCAAGCAAATAGCCCCATTTTTCTCCTGCAGATCCTCTGGGTGGGTTTCAACCTCCAACCTTTCATTTAGCAGCTGAGCAATTAACCATTCTGCCACCAGGACTCCTTTAGAAGAGGATTACACCCACCTGCCCCGGCCCCAGCCAAACAAAACAAACCTAAACCTGTTGCCATGGAGTAGATTCCAGCTCACAGAGACCCCATGTGTTACACAGTAGAACTGCTCCATAGGGTTTCTTGGCTGTAGTCTTTATGGAAGTAGATCACCAGGCCTTTCTTCTGCAGGGCTGTTAGGTGGGTTTGAACCGCCAACATATAGATTAATAATCCAGCACAAATCTGTTTGCGCCACCCAGGGACCTAGACAGGGATTCATGCCAGGAATAATAATATATATCATAGACGTAGAATTTCAGATACTCTCCATACCTTTAGGCCAGTTCCTTAAGCCTCTAGGTCGCAGTTTCCTCGCCTCCAAAGCTTAGACTGCTTTCTAGCTTCAGATATGTGGCTGACCGCAGAAGTTAGGTCTTATTTGCATGAGGCCCCCCCCGGGATCCTAGGACAATGAAGAAGACTTCTTCTGGTGGTTTGTGGTTATGCTCCTCAAATAGATATGACCAGGGGACTGTACAATAAATGTCTGGGCAAGGGGGATGCCCATCTTAGGCTTAGCAGCCAGTGGAAGAAGAAAGACATGGGCTAGGAAAGCACTCGATTGGCATCCTTTCTCAGTCTACCATCATGGGTAGTAAAGAGAGGCAAGGAAGTCCACCTTCAGGCAGCCAGATGAGCAGTAGCTGATAGTTCAGATGCATAGGGAGCAGGCAAGTGGAGGCAAATCCTTGGGCAGCAAGACTGCAGAGTGGGAAGTGGGTGTTGTAGGGGGTGCTGGAGGGGAAGGGGAGGGAGAGAGGCCTGCAGGGCTTTCTTCCTTCTAACCATGGGCCTTCTCACCTAAGTGAATAGTTCAAGAGTCCTGGTGGAGAAGGGAGGAGAAAGGCCTGTTGGGATAAGACCAGATGTGCTGGAAGAGAGTGTACACCTTTGCAGTCATCTAGGGGAAATAATGATGGTATAATGGTAGTAATAATAATAATAACCACAGCTACCATGGGATAAAAGTAGGTACAAGAAAAAGAATTACAATCATTATCTCATTTAATCCACAGAAGAGTTCTAGAAGGTAGATGTTAGCATTCCCATTTTATAGAGGAGGAAACTGAGGCTTACACGGGTTAAGACCTTGGCCCCAGGGTCAGACACACAGCTTGCCTGGCACCAAGCCTACATATAAGAGACATCAGGTCCCTTCCAATTCTGAAACTTTATGATTCAAAATGTTAAAGTTAAGTTCTTATTCAGAATTCAAAAAGCAATCTGCTATTCACCAATAATATCCCCATGGCGATTGCGTGTCATCTTTCCTCTCCTGGTGTGTTTTATAACTTCATTACGAACCCTGTCTTTGTCGTTGGCAGAATAATAAGGATGCCTCTCTTTTTTTTAAACACTTCACATATAAATATATATGGCTAAAGAAAACGATTTGAAAACGTATTAAGCATGAACAAGTATGGCACATTGACAATTTGTCCTAAAAATAGTTAATATAATTAGTGGCAAAGAGTAAAGCTGACTTCATAATGATGTAAGTGGATGTCAGATAAATACTGCCTGTGCTGGTTTCATTAAAGCTTCAGTTGCCGCAATAAATGTGTGTCTGTTTATAACCGCCTTGTAAAGAGTCAAAAGAGGCTGACGCTCAAAGATTAGACAGCCCCATAAAACAAAACGAGACTAATGGGGCACAACAGTCCAGGGACAAGGACTAGAAGGCAGGAGGGGACAGGAAAGCTGGTAATAGGGAACCCAAGTTTGAGAAGGGGCAGTGTTGACATGTCGTGGGGTGTTAACCATTGTCATAAAACAATATATGTACAAAAAAAAAAAAAAAAAGGCTGATGCTTCATTGATATGTAAGGAGTATATATTGTTATAAACTCCACAGAGTTAAGCTATACGGGAATCACTTTCCAAAGTAGTTTTTTAAAGGGCTTTGTCCAGTCAGATAGGAGTTGTGAGTTCAGGCTTCAGAACCAACCTGCTGGCTTTCCATCCCAGCCCTCCTTCTGAAGCTGAATGGCTTCGGACAATTGTTTAACCTGACTTAGCACAGCCATGCAACCTCATGGAAGGATTGAGTGAGTTATTACAGGTAACGCACGTAGGGAAGTATCTTTACACAGCAAACATTAATCCTTCTTATTATTTAGATGTAGGGCTTCCTCTGTCATGAACTAAAAAAACCTCAACTGGTAGCAATTAAGAAGAATGATCTAGAACGATCTAGATCAGCACTCTCTAATAGAAATATCATTTTCAATTTTCTCTTAGCCACATTTAAAAAAATAAAAAGAAATGGGTAAAGTTAATGTTAATAATATATTTTACTCAACCCACAATCAAAACATTATAATTTCAACATGTAATGAATATCAAAAATTGTGAACAAGGTATTTTACTGCCTACATGTAAATGTTTTGTCTAAAACAGTTCATTTTCCTGTATGTATTTTTGTGTGTATATCACTATAATAATAAAAGAAATCCTATAGAAAAGTGACCAAACGACATAAACGTCTTCAGGTAGAAGGAAAATGATTCTAGGTAGAAGTTTGAATCCATACAGTGGAATGCAGAACACTGAAAACAGTCAATATGTGCATAAGTATAAAATATATTTTTCTCTTTTTTAAAATAACATTTTATTATTGTAAAAATAGCATGGGGGCGGCATCTGACCTCCTCTAACTTCACGAGGGTGAAGGAGAATCATGCTCAATAGCCCAAGGCTGGTCCTGTGAGACAGAGGTCAGACATGCCTCCTCTCTTTGCCATCTTTACCAATTCTTACACCAACCGTCCTTCCCACGGCACTCTACTTCTCTACTGGGTTCAATAATTCATTGCAGCAGCCACACAGAACTCACAGACAATATTCACAATTATGGGATTTATTAGAGAAGTAACAGGTTACAATTCAAGTTCAGGAAAGCTCAGGATACAGTTCGTCAATCAGGACAGCCTCTTCTCAGTGGTGTCCGCAGGCACGCCTATCTCTGGCCCCTCGGCCTCTGCCCTGCTCAGGCAAGTGTTACAAAGCTCTTTTAGCTCTGCCGGTAAGTGCCTGGAGGTATCTCACTCCACCAAAGGTGCTCAGCTCTAGCTCCATGGGTCGGCAAACCCAGCTCCACCAAATGCCCAGAAGCACCCTACTCTTCTAGCAAGCCTCCTGCCTGAAGGTACTCGGCTTTCTTGTTCCGTGGATTGGGAAGTCGACTGTGCCATCTCTCGCCTTTCTCTCTTGCAGCAGTTTCTCTGCCACTGCTTCTCACCGTCTTCAGTGTTACAGCTCTCTCTTTCTTGGTCTCCTGGTTCCAGGAGCTTCTCAGCGCAGGTATCCTGAGTCCGAGGGCTCTTGGCCCATCTTCCTTGGTGATGGTAAGATCCTCTCCTTCTCGCCTCTGGAATGGCTCATTTTAAGCCTAATGGAATGGCAAAACTGAGCAATCCCTTTGGTGGGCCATAATTACCTTATTTGCACAGTCCCACCCAATCACTATAGGGTCGCTATGAGTTGGAATCGTCGGCTATGGGTTTTTTCTTTTTTTTTTTTTTGGTTTACTCAATCACTTGGGTGGGATTTCCCAGACCGTGGCAAGAAACCACACAAAAGCAATCCATTGCACCACAATTGTGTTTTCAGTGAAAGTTCATGCAGCAAGTTAGGTTCCCCTTTGACAATTTGCACACAAATTGATCAATGACATTAGTTACACTTTTCACGTGGTGTCAACATTCTCATTAGCTGTATTCTGGTTGTTCAATTTCCAGTACTCTAGTTTTCCTGCCTCCTTGTCTTCACATCTTTTCTTTGTATTAAATGTTGATCTTCTGGACTCATACAGATTTTTTTTTAGTAGAGCACCAATCTATTGGGTAATATTCTGTATTTTGTGTGTCACTCTGCTTTTCTTTTAAAAGGTGATCT